TGCTACAGGGCAGCCTATCTGAAAAACACCATACCCTGATGTGATAAAGAACTGCTCCAATTAGTTTCAATTACCCAAGTTGGTGGTGTTCCTGTTTAATAATGAATGTTTTTCCTGATGGCAAGGACATTAAGATATAAGGACACTTCTGAAGAGGATGTTTATGTGGTTTTATATAGTTGAACTGTTATTTTGTTCAGAAATACCAATTTCCATGCATTCAGCATTCATCTGCTTTAACTAAAATACAGTTTAATTTACATTGGATGCAAATTACTAGTTGCATTTGAGTGGGAATGGGTTCATCTCATAGTTGGAGACTTTGTTGACAACCTAAGCTGTTTACCCTGTAGTGTGATACAACCCAGACACATGTTCCAGTTAAGGATGCATTAAACACTATGAAGTGAAACATTACATCTCAGTTCAAGAGTTGAATAGGCCACCAGGTACTTAATTAAATTTTTTTAAAAAAGTATTATTTTATGGAAATAGATTTTGCCGGCTTACTTTTAAATAAAACTTCCATGATGGTACATGTCATATGAAATGTATAAGAAGACAAACCATATTTAAACAATAGTTCTTCAATTGCAGGATACCTGCAAAACCTACCCAGGATACCTGCAATTGAAGAAGTAAAAAGTAGTAAAACTACATAGTAAAATGTAGTTTTGTTGAGGGCAACTATATGTGAAAGGTGAATTATAAGGAAGCATAAGTGACAGTAAGACGTTTCTGTCTAATTTGTAATAAACCGATGCTCTGTGATTATAGTCAGGTCTACAGAGGTACTGCAAAGTTTTAATGACGTTGATTATTCTAAACTTTAGCCTGCATCGAGAAGCAGGCTACAGACTTCTGGGAGCAGCCCCTCGCCGAGGGAAGGCGAGGCGGCTCAGGGGGATGAAGCGGGTCCCCGCAGGGAAGGGCAAGGCCGCGCCGCCGGCCCGGGGTCCCTTCCGTGCCGCCCCACCGCGGAGGACTCTTACCCGCCTGCTCCGCCAGCTCCTTCCGCCGCGGAGGCCTGCAGTTTTCACAGGGAGCCCGCCCCTTCCAGAGGCGGTCTGTCCGTCGGTCGGTGTGTCCGTCCCCCCCCGCCCGGTCACACGCTCCGCAGGGAGGCGGGGAAGGGGCGGAGCCGGCTCCCCAGTCCCGCGGGGCGCTATGGAGGGCACCTCGCGCGCACAAGCCCAATTATAGCCGTGCGCGGGGCTCGCGCGCCGCCGGGCCAATCAGGCGAAGGGCCTCTCCCCGCGGCGCGAGCCCGAACTGTCCCGTGACTGCGCGCGCCCACCCCCACCCCCGCAGCGCGTGACGCCGGCCCCCGCGCGGCGATAGGCGGTTGAGGCGCGCGGCGGGGGCGCGGCTCCCCGGCCGGCGGGCGTTAGG